ATGCTTTTGAGATCCAATCCTGCTGCTGCATGTATCAATAGTTGTTTCTTTTTTATTGTCTAGTAGCATTTCACCCTTCGGCTGTGCCACAGTTCATTCATCAGTCGGTAAACATCTCGGGTGCCTCTAGTTTACGGCAATTATTATTAAAGTCCCTGTGAGCACATGTACAGACAGGCTTTTATGTGAACGTAAGTATTGACTTCTATTGGGAAAATGCTTAGGAATGAAATTGCTGGGTCATATGACAAATGTGTAATTTTGTAAGAAACTGCCAAAGTGCTTTCCAAAGTAGCAGAGGTTTATCTTTTGTTTTTGTCCCGAGTGTCCTTGAAAAATAGTGTTTCTGCCTAAAGAACTTCCTTTAACATATCTGGTAGCGGATGGCCGCTGGCAGTGATTTCTCTTGGCCTGTTTTGGGGAAGAGAGGGGCGTCAGCAAAAGTATTCAGCCTTCATTTTTGGGAGATATATGTACCCCATATATGTCTGGATTGACTCTTTTTTTTCTTTGCTGCTTTAAAGATGTCATTCCATTGTCTTATAGTTTACATAGTATTAAGAGGTCTGATTGATTTATTTTCCTAGTTCCTGTGTATATAAAATGTGTTTCTTTTTTTTTTCTGACTGACTTCAAGGTTTTCTCTTTGGTTGCAGCAGTTTGACTGATACAGTTCAGAATTATTCTGCTTAGAATTCTTGAGTCCGTGTTTGATGTCCTTTATTATCTGGGAAAAAATTCTTATTTTGCCTTTGTTTTCCTCTCTGTGTTTCAGTGTGGATGATTTTTATTGGTTTGTCTTTATGGTCATTGTTTCCTCAGTTGTGTCTAGTCAACTGATGAGACTGTTGAAGGAATTTTTCATCAAGTTTTATGGGAGGTCAGTCAGTGCAGTGAGAAGCCGGGCTGGGTTTGGGTCCATTATTGTTCTGAGCTCTGTAGCTGTCCAAGTCTCCCAGCTGTGCACTGGAGTGGCCTGTGGACGGGGCCTTTTCTTGGGGCCAGCTCTCCGCCTAGGCGAGCCCCAGAGCGGTTCTGTCTCTATCTCTGTCTCTGTCTCTGTCTCCCTCTCCGCACCCTTGCAGCTCCCCGAGGGGTAAACTGCCGCTGCTGGTCATTCTGTAGGAGGTTGCATGGGCGCTGAGGGAGTGTTGTCAGTTGTTCTAATTGGCCTCTGTCTCCTCCGGGAGGCCCTGTGCGCCTGGGTTCCCTGAAAGGCGGTGGGGAGTTTATTCTTCCTTGTTCCTGTTCCTTCTCTCTGGCAGCTCCACTCTGCCTTGAACCTGGGAGCGGTTTCTAAGAGCTTCCTGCTTTTCTCCCAGCGGTGGGGAACCTCTGCTTGGGGTCAGTAGGAGTCTTTAGCTAAAGACAGTTCCCTGCCCCACCCCCAGAGGTAGAGAGATTTTCTTCTACCCTTCTTCCGTTTCTCTAGTAGGCCTTTTCCTGTGTCCGGGGGTGGGGGTGGGGGGGTGGACAGGCTTTGCTGCTTTTTCCTAGTGGCTGGAGGCTTTGCTTCAGGAGAAGTTTAGAGACTGGAGAAAAACTATTTATACTGATGGACGATGTCACAGACACTTTTGAGGGTTCCAGTCAGTGGCCTCTATTTTCATCACAGTTGCTTAAAATAATACAGAATATTTAAAAGCTAGATTGCAGGTCATTTTGTTCATTTTTATATTTTGTTTGCTGACTTTATTCTTGTTTCTGAAACTTTTATTAATCCTTACTGTTACAATAATTATGAGCATTTTACCTTTAAAAATACTCCCCAAACTTTTTTAGCTTTTGGGATTGTCCTTTTTTATTTTTAATTTGTGACTGTTAAAGTCAGTGATATTAAGTGTACTCTTAATTTAAAATTGAAATGTTCATGATTGTCCACTCATGTTACAAGGAACGAAACTAACACCCATTCTCAACAAAACAGCTTTGTACTTTAGATTTTAAAATCCAGGATGAACAGTATAAATTATTAGTACAACTCTTTAGTTTGATAGACATTATAAATGCCAGACTACCTTTTTTTTTTTTTAACTCCCATTCTATTTGTAAGGACAAATTTGCCAGCCCTCAGTGAAGGGAGCAGGCAGGTGAACGCGTCCTCAAGGACGGTGTGGCACGGTGGTTAGGGCTCCGGATCCAGACTGCCCGGGTGCTGATTAGTTCCACATCTTAGCAGTTGTGTGACTCTGGACTAGTTACTTAGACTTTTTATACCCCAGTTATATGTCTCATCTGAATTGAAGATACGGACAGTACCTGTGTCAAAGGCTTATTGTGGGAATTACGAGGATACGCGGAAAGCACTTAGAACAATGCTTGGCACACATCATGTTTCACATATAAATGTTTGTTATTATCATTGTTTGTGGTAATAATGGAGTCTCATCATAAAATTCACAAAAAGATGCTGATGAGCTGAACCAAACCAAAACTGGAAAGACAAGGGACTGGAAAAACTCGTAAAAGATTCGTCAGCCGGGAGCTACAGGGAGAGGAGGGCATCGGGAGTGGACCTGGAGTAGAAAGCCTGGGCTTATTTGACCGGGGCGCTGTTTCTGATCACCCAGGACCCGGCGGTCGGATACCGGAGGCCAGAGCTGAGTCCCTGGGGCAGGGGCAGGGGCAGGGGCCAAGGGAGGGAGAAGAGGACGGGTCCAGCGGGAACTGGCCAGAGGGCACAGGCTCGCTCCTGTGTTCCTTCTTTCTGAGGGGAACACTGAGAATCTGTAGTCAGAGTTACCAATGCATTATTATTCAGGGTGTAGCAATGTGGGTTTCAGTGATTTACTTCTTTGAATTTCACTTTAAAAAAATATAATAAAATAGAGATGATACTAGACGTCCTAAGGTTGGAAAGAAATATGAAATTATTAAAGGAAACACCTCATGTAAAGTGTGTATTATCTCGGTACCTTAAACACAGGAAGTGTTTGCATGGTTGTCGTTTTCACCACCACCACCACCACCGCCACCCCCCGATATGTAGAATCCCAGACGCCTGAGTCCTGACCTGACACAGCCTGCTCACTTCTTCTCATTCCTTGAGCCTTCAAAGGAAGTGAGCACACCGAGACCTTGACGGGGACGCTCCTGTCCTCCTCCAGTAGGCCCCAGCTGCCCGAGACCGGCCTGTTTGGAGAGCTGGGTGAGGAGGCCCGATTGGTCTTTCCCGTATTACCAACACGGCTCTTTCTTGGCAAGGTGGTGGCTTTAAAAGCCTGTTGCCATTAATAATTATACCTTTATGTCTAATCTTTACTTTTCCCTTTTCTTGACGCACATAGTAGGACCTTCATATGGCGCTAAGCAAGCGTTTATAGCAGACATCCTCGTCTCATTTCTGTTCTCAAGGGAGTGTCTTAGCCCGGGCGGCCATGACAAAACACCACAGACTGGGTTGTTTAAACAACAGAAATTGGTTTTCTCACAGATCTGAACGCTCGAAGTCCAAGGTCAGGGTGCCAGCAGTTTCCGGTGCGGGCTCTCTTTTGGCTTATAGTCACCTTCCCGCTTTGTCATTCCATGGAAGGAGCAAAATAAAATAATTATGAAAATCTTTGATTTAGTTTTAAAATAGCTAAACAAAGACTGAATCCCCAGAATATATGGATGCCATTGTTACTTTTAATACAATTTATGTTTATAAAAATGCTTGACTATAAAAAATTAAATTGAAATAAACTGTTTTCCTTTATATTTTATAGGTTGGCAACTAAAAATACAGGGGGAAAAGCATGTGAAATAGCTTTGAGAAAACTTACCGTATTTTTCAGACTATAAGACACACCTGCCCCCCAATTTGGGAGGAATAATGGTTGTTAATGTTGCTGTTGAGTTGTTTACACTTACATTGGTGAGATACTATGTTATTTATGTTATTAAATATTTTACCACATTTTTTGCTTCAAAATTTTTTCCCGTATTTTTCTCCTCTGAAACTTAGGTGCGTCTTATGGTCTGAACATGTGGTAAATGGCAATCTCTGTAAAGTGCTTGGCACTAGCAGCCACAGTTTGAGAACCATCATCATCCTTTTTTTTGTTGTCAAATTGAAAGGCACTTGAAAGTAATGCAAGTTAAGGAAGAAAGGTTCCTTTTGAATACAAACTACTTTAAGTTAAAGAAAGGATAAATAAAATAGCCTTGCTAAGATCATTTCTTAGAGTATACGCCTGAACAAGTTATTTTAGTTAAAATGTCTCAGATACATGTAAAAGTAACCTCAGAATACATCTAAAATTAAAATATTTAAATATTGTAACAGTAAAATTAATTTGAGAAATAGAGCCTCATCACATTGATAATAGGTAGTAAATTAATTTTTATAACTATTATTCATTTTAATTATTTAATTTTAGTAAACATTTCTTAATTTTCATAAATTAAGTAATATTATATTTATTACTGTATTACAATATACTAGTAATATATTGTACTCTTAGCTTTTTTGCACATTAGCTGTATCTTTTAGAAAAAGTTTCCTAGCAGATGCGCAGCTGATACTTAAATAGCAGTTGTGCTGTCTCAGTCTGAAAGCTGACGCTGCGGCAGAAAGACGCAGTTCTTATCTATTAAAAGAGACAGTTTTTTCCTGAGAAGTTGTTCAAAGAACTTGTTCTAAGTATATAATTTAGGTGGTTACTGCTAAGTATTTGAGTGCCAGCTTCTTTGGAAAGTATATGTCAACCCATTTATTTTATCACATAAAATAGAAAATCAAATGTTTAAAAACATTGTGCCCACAGATGCAGGGACATATTACTATTAATAATACTTTGGGTTTCTGTGAATTTACAGGTAAATTTATAAGTCTAAAGAAGTATATTTGTGATAAGGGAAATAGAAAATCTTCAAAAACAACTTAAAACATTGTAATATTTTTATTTTTTCTATCAGATTTATAGACATATTGCTATCTTTCCTTAAATTTCTCAAAAAACTGATGTTTTTGTATTAACTGAATACATATATAAGATTTACTGTTTATCTTTATAAAGATTCAGAGGTCCAAAGAGATGACGTCCTGTGGATAGCCATGGCAGGGACTCACCAGATCTGGGCACTTCTGCTGGACTGTGGCCGACTCCCAAAGAAAAGGTAAGTGGCAACATCTCTTTTTGGGCAAACTGCACTACTGGGAGTTCACAGAATTCCCTTCCCCATGTCTCCATCCTCTCGACGCCCAGGACTCGTCTGGATGTGCCAGGACACGTCCTGTTGTAACGAAGCGCTCGGACGCTTGGTGGGTAAAGACAGGTTTGCTTTCTTGCTCACCCCCATGGGCTCCCCGGGAGCGCCGCTCTGCCACACAGGCCGACACAGCAGCCGCGGTCTAGAGCGCTGCCGGTCGTCCTGGCAGAGAGCGAGGGCGCTGACTCGCTTTCTAGCTCTTCAGGCTCCTAGGCAGAAGTGACACATCACTTCTCACCTTTCATCAGCCAGAGTGAGTCTCACGACCACACCCACCTCACTTCAAGGAACCTGGGACAGCAGTCCCACCAAGCATCCAGAGAGCGGGCTGGAGACATCTGGTGGGCACTCGTCTTCAGCACGCAGTTCAGGCAGCCTGACTGTTAGCAGGTATTGGAGCACCGTGAAGTTCAGCGGTTAATAGCGCAGGCTTTGTAGTCAGGGCTGATGGATGCCGGCTCTGCCGTTTCCTATCAGTGTGAGCTTAGGAGAGCTACTCGAACTTTCTGAGCTCAGTTTCCTCATTTATACCTCCCTTTGGGCTTGTTTGAAAATTAATAATATGTGTGAAGAGCTCACTTAGCTTAATGCCTGGCATATTCAGTAAATGTTCATAGCTTTGTTGCCACTGATGGGGATATAAAGGTGGAAAATGTCCCTACAAAGTACTTAACGCCTTTTTAATAGAGCCTTTCCCCTTCCTGACACTCCAGGTGGAACTGACCGTGCTCTTTACATAACTGATTGTCTTACTAGGTTGCCTCTTAAAGGAGGGGATCCCTTATCATTCATTTGTGTGTCCGCTGTACCTCGCACAGTATCTGGTACATAATGGGAGTCCAGTAAGGGTTTGCAGAGTAAATAAATAAATGAAAGTCATAGACCAGAAAGACTGTCGAGTCAGCGTAGAAGGTGCCTGTCATCTCAGTTTCCTTTGTTAGTAGAAAAGAGTAGTTGTATAGATGATCCAAAATATCAGATGTATTCCAAATAGTATATATGTGTGTGTGTTTCACTGTGTGATGTTTTGCATCATTCATCTAACAGCTGTTCATTAAACATACTATAATCATTCATCCAGCAGCTGTTTATTAAACATACTGTATACTAGGCACCATGCAAGGCAATAGGGATGAAGTGTGTTCACTAATTAAGAATAAAATTAGAAAGCCCTGGCTGGCGTAGCTCAGTGGATTGAGCGCGGGCTGGGAACCAGTGTCCCAGGTTCGATTCCCAGCCAAGGTACATGCCTGGGTTGCGGGCCATAACCCCCAGCAACCACACATTGATGTCTCTCTCTCTGTGTCTCCCTCCCTTCCCTCTCTAGAAATGGATAAATAAAATCTTTAAAAAAACAAAAAATAAAAAAAATTGTTAAAAAAAAGAATAAAATTAGAAAATGTGGTTGCTGTCCTCAGTGGACTTACAGAGGAGGAATCAAAACAAAAACAACCCATAGTTGGGAAGTACAGGTGCTGTGTGTGAAAGGAATCACTGTAGAAGTCCTTCACATTGAAATTGTCCCTTATGTAAATAAGGACACCTGAAATCCATCAAGGAAGGCTTCCTGGAAGAATCTTCTAAATTAAAACCTGATAGAGGAGTAGGAGTTAGACTGGGAGAGGGGAGGTTTTCCAGGCAAGAATGACTCTAGTGATGTCAGTAGAAGCCAGATCACAAAATTCCTTGTGAGCCCTTTTAAGAGATTTGAACATTATTCTGTATACCTTTCTAGAAAATTTTAAGCTGGGAAGTGACATAAGATTTGTGTTTTTGAAAGAACACGGGCAGCATTTGGCGAGAGACGAGACTAGAGACACAGATACCAGTGAGGAGGCTGTTGCTATATCCAGGCGAGAGATGACAGTAGCCTGAACAGAGAAGTGACCAACAGCATTGCACGTGAGACATAATTATACAAAGAAATGAGATGACCAGAGTGTTCTGAGGGATGGCTGTGTGGAGCAGGGTTGGATGCCTGCTGCGATCTCCCTTTGTATGTGCTGCTGGTGAAGCTTATTGGATTCTTCTCTGTTGTTGTCTGACGCCGGCCACTGGGTGTGTTGGTTTGGGCCACTTGGGGGGAAATCCGGTGCAGACCAATGTCAGGTGCTGCCTGTGACTGGCCCTGGGCAACCTTTTCAGAGCTACCAGCAATCCACAGTTTGTGGCTGCCTCTGCTGGGCTTGGGTATGCATGGGAAGGACTAAGCTGCATGCCAAGGCCAGCTTTTACCAGCACTGGGCCCAGGGCAGGTCAGCCAAAGCCCTAAAGCACCCTGAGATGTGTCTGCCTGCCAGCGGCCTGTTAGGCTTGAGTCACTGAAAGGGCCTCTGGCTGCAGTCACACCTCAGCAGCGTGTAACTCTACCTGGTGAGGCTGTTGCTTTCCCCCACACCGATTCCCTAAGGAGGGGGTTGCGCCACCTAAGAAAGATGGCGTCTGCAGTGTGGGCGAATAACTCAGCACAGGGATCCTGGCAGCTGACCCGCCAGCTCTCTCCCCAGAGCCACAAACCCCAGACTCCTCACGCCCTCTCTGCGCCAGAGTCCAAGGTGAGTGGCTGCAAATGAAATGTTATATGTTGGCCTTTTAAGGGGCTGCCTGCGTCTCTAGCCATTTCTCCCTGGTGGACAGAAACCCCACTCCTTTTCACAGCCAGATGTTATGTGAGTGCCTCTCCCTGGCCCTGGTGCTCTGGGCTGTGGGGCCTGGCTTGGGACTGACTTGGGGGTTAGACCCACGCTTCTCAGGTACAACCCCCGCCTCTGAGACGTCCCTCTGGAGCCTCCGCCACCGCCCCTGGGAGAGCGGGCCAGCCCTTTTCACGTCTCTGCCCTTCCTGCCAGTCTCCATGTGGCTTCTTCTGTAAATCCTTGGTCATATGGCTTCTCTTCTGCTACTCTTCACCTGGTTATTCAGGATGACTGTTCTATAATTTAGTTGTAATTCCAATTTGGTCCTGGGAGCGGGTGAGTGTAGCGCCCACCTACTCCACCACGATCTTGGATCTCTGAAAATCTTAATTCCCTTTCAGAACCTAACATTGTATGAAACTAAGCAGTTGTCAAAGTGGTATCTAGCTGTACCTATCTCTGCATATTTGGAGGAAAAAAAGTGTGTCCCATCAATGATGTGCTCAGTAGTCTTACAAGTTTCACCTCACCAGGGATTTCCTCTTTGACCATTGAGAATAGTTTCAGTATGTCAGAAAAGTATAAAGGTCCCTACGCTGTAGATAAATAAGTTAATGATTAGAAAAACTGCAGTGAAATCTGGCTCGCACACAGTTTTACTAAGCGAAGATCACTGGATTTTTAATTTTACAACGCTTAACCACCACTGATTTAATCACTTACATTCATTTGTTTAATAACTAAATTGGATACGATATAACAGTGCTGCTCTTGTCTTTCTCTTCCAGTGAGTTGAAAAAAGGGACCTGCCTGCGGTTTGCCGGCAGTGGGAACGAAGAGAACCGAAATAACGCGTACCCTCACAAGGCGGGCTTTGCCCAGCCGTCAGGCCTCTCCCTGGCCGCGGAGGCCCCCTGGAGCTGCCTGTTCGTAGCCGACAGTGAGAGCAGCACGGTGAGGACGGTCTCGCTGAAAGACGGCGCCGTGAAGCCCCTCGTGGGAGGAGAGAGGGACCCCGTGGTAAGGAAAGTCCCTCCCGCGCACGCGCCCGACCCTCACCGAGTCTGCAGCTTTCTGCGTTTTGAGTCGTTCTCAGAATTTGGGGGAGAGTTCTTGGCCTATCCATAGGTTAAAGTGGAAGTCAAATCAAAAGGAAATGTGAATATAAAGAAACACAAACAAAGCCATCTAAGAAAAGTAAACTTACTGTACTTGATTATACATAAATGTCAAGGACCAGAGAGGAAAGAAAGGGTAAAATACTGATTAATGAGAGAAGAGGAAAACGTAAAGTACACATTTGACAGGGTGGTGGGAGGAGCACCAGGCTGGGAGACCTGGCCTTTCCTGACCAGATGTGTGGTTACTGTCGGTGAAACGAAGCACCACAACTGAGTGGAGGTTCAACATTCTGTCCTGTTTTTCTTGTCCAAAACAAATGCCCGGCTCTGTCTGTATGCAGTCAGACCTTTTCCCCTTTGACTTAAGTAGCACATACAGTCATCTTAATTTTCACTTTATATGCTAACAGAACACTGTAAAAATTTTAATACGTGCTGTATTTTTCTTTTTTAAAACAAAGAATCTCTTTGCTTTTGGTGATGTTGATGGAGTAGGAATCAGTGCAAAGCTTCAGCACCCACTCGGAGTAACGTGGGACAAGAAAAGGCATTTGCTTTATGTGGCAGACTCTTACAATCACAAGGTGAGTCCTGACAGAATTATGTAATACTTTGCTTTTCATCTGTGGTATTTAAAACGCTGAAAACCCTGTGAGCCTCCTACAATTGCCACTCCAAAATATAAAGGGGAATAACAGTCTTTGACAACTATAGCCTTTGTTCTTTTCTTGGTCCTTTCTTTGCAAAGAGGTTATGATAGCACTCCGAGCTTGGGAAAGGACTAATAGACACATTCCTAAGGCTCTTGCCAAAATTGTGACTTGCCACCCATCAGAGCTGCTTAGTAACAAATGCAGTAGATAAGGAGAAGGCAGGTGACACAGAAATTACTATGTCGTTTAACAAATGAGCATTTTGGATCTGTTGCATAGTTGCAGCACCTATTAGCAAATAACTCCATGAAAATGGAATTAAAAGGAGCATTTCATTAACTGTCCAACTATTTCTATTTTTATTTTTTATAGAAGTAGAAAATATCTTGTGATGAGAGACTATTCATTTAATACGGTTGAAACAGTGGAAATCATGAAGTTTAACCTAAGTAGCAAATCCTCAGCCAGTATTAAATGCCCGGGAGAAGAAAAGTCAGTTCAGCTGTGTCCCATTGTGAGAAAAAAGAATAACATTTTGAAAATTCTTCAATTCCATAAATAATTGTATCACACATTGCTTCCAGAGGACAGACCGTAACTCGGGATATCACATAGTGTTCGGCCCTCAGAACGGAGCATCTCCCCTTGGACCAGGCGTGTCAGACTCATTGTCACGGGGGCCCCCGCAGCCCTGCGGTTGCCCTCAAAGGTGGAATGTCATTTAGGGCTGTGTGAATGCAGCTACTCCCTGCCTGGGGGCAAGGAGCTCGGCGCTGCCGCCGGGGAGAAACAAGGTGGAGGGCCGGATTCGGCCCGCGGGCCTTGTGTTTGCCACCTGTGTGCGCCTTAGACTATAGTTTGAATGTTTGACTTTTTCAAGAAAATACAGAAATGTCTATTTTTCTGTGATTTTTTTTTATGAATACTAACGAGAAGCAGAATTCTCTGGCTTGCTTGGTACTGTACTTTGCCATACAACAAACATGAGATTGAGCTTTAGGCATATAACTTTTTTTTTTTAGATTAAAGTTGTGGATCCAAAAACAAAAAGCTGTATAACATTAGCAGGAACTGGAGATGCAAGTAATGTCAGTTCCAGTTTCACCGAGTCAACTTTTAATGAACCAGGAGGCTTGTGTATTGGAGAGAATGGCCAGTTATTGTATGTAGCAGACACGAATAATCATCAAATTAAAGTGATGGATTTAGAAACAAAAACAATTTCTGTGGTGAGTAATCTTGAAGGGTAAGTTGAAGGGTATCATTTTACGAATGATGCTAAGATCCTCACAGTGCTGACCGGCACTTCTGGTCAGCTGATCTCCAGGGGTGCAGGTGGACGTAGGCAGCGTAGTAAGTGCGTGTCTGTTCAAGGATATCATTAGTCTTAAAGTAAAAAACTCCATCTGGGTCGTGAGTGTTTGAGAAAGACACTGGAAGTTGGAAAGAACTTGGTGAACTATCAGAAAAGAAAAAGGAGGACTCGTCTGTTTTTAAATACATGCATAACCATAGGCACAGACCGCGGTGATGTCCAAAGGGAAGCCGGGGGTGGGGGGGCAAAAGGGGGGAAACGGGACATCTGTAATAGTGTAAACAGTAAATGTAAAAAATAAGTAAAACATGAATTATTTAAATAAATATGTACACATACTGATACACACTGCATACTGTGTACTGTATGGGTGGGGTTGTTCAGTCTTATTTTTAATGATGGTTAGATTAATGTGTAATCTTTGTTTCCTATGGTGAATTCATTACCAAATAATCTTCCAAAGAAATCTAGAACCCACATGTCTCAAAACATTGAAAATAAGATTGAAATAAAAATAAGTTCTAATGAATTTTTAAAGATATAGTCATGATCTCTAATACAATTTAAGTTCCTTCTTGATGTATCACATTTGCCTGAAAAAAATGCACGAGTTTTTTTCCCCCTAAAATGCTAGGAATTTCCAGGGTACATTTTAAAATAAAAACAGATTGTCATCGTAATGTGTCATTTCTCCTGTCACAGGTCTTTGTTACAACATCAGTGACATCATATAGTTGACAATGAAAATGTTAAGAGGATTATATTATATCCACTACATTGAAATTGATAGTTTTACTTTACTTTCCTGTCATTTACACACATGCTGAACAATTAATTTGTTTCATTCCTAAGTGTTGGTAATCTTTTTGCCAGAATGAAATGTATTTCTGAACCTCATTTTAGACTGAAGTCTAAAAATAAACTCTCTCACTTTATAATCAGGTACTTTCAAGTACCTGTGCTTTAATAAACAAATGTTCTTATTTCCTAGCTCCCAGTCTTCAAGGCTGGAACTGCTGTGGTAGATGGCCCGTCCCCAGGGGCAACCCAGAGGACAGTACCCACACTACCCAGGTCAGCTCCCAGCATCACACTTGCCCCGGTGGCTGCCTCTCCAGGACAGACCCTCCAGTTCAAGCTCCGACTAGACTTCCCCCCAGGAGCAAAGCTGACTGAAGGAGCACCCAGTCGCTGGTTTCTGACAGCTGAAGGTATGAGCCTAGTCTTGCACATACAAATATTTCATAAATTCTTAATGATTAGTAATCTTTCTCATTTGTGTATGCTGTTTTTACTCTGTAGTTGGGCAGGATTTGAGGGAAGTCTTGTGGCAAAATAGATCCAGACCTAACCCCATTTTATCAGTTTTCTTTAGTCTTATAAATTCTTTTCCGTCTTTTATTAAGCAACAGTGTAACTCGCCCAAAATTACTCAATCATAATTGCCCCCCCATTCCCTACTGGGCAAGTCCATCGCATGCGACAAACTTCTCTAGTCTCAGAGTGATGGGTCCTTGGATCTTCGAGCTGTGACAGCACACACTGTCTGTTATGGGGACACGAAGGGCTCAGAGAGACAGTGACTCCACTAAATGCTTATTATGCTGATTACCGTAAATGCTTAAGAGCATATGTTGAATTAGGTCAAAAAGTGTAATTTGAACCCAGTTCCACCTTTAGTTTAGTGTCTTTTCCATTGTGTTACTCCCTCTCAAACTAGTTCTAGGACAATTAGCCCTAAAAATGAATTCTATTTATTTAAAAAGACAAAGTTCAAAGCCACCAATTACACATTTGGGCATTATGAACGTTTCTAAACCTTACCCTAAACTTCTGTGTTTACCTCACCCTGGTCTCTGGGTGAGCCCGGTCCACGGGCTGGCCTTGGGGCCGCCCTGTCCGGGGCGCTCTACCAGAGAGCGCAGAGGGACGAGGAGGGGCCGGGAAAGGAGACGTTCGAGTGAACAGCAAGTGGGAGCAAATCCGAGAGAGCAGTTTCCTGCAGCCAGGTGGTTTAGGGGGAGAGCGACCAGCCATGTCAAGTGCTGCTGATAGGCCAGGTGAGATAAGGACGGAGAATCGATCGTTGATTTAATGTTACAGAGTTAGCTGGTGTCCTCACCCTCAGCCGTTTCAGAATGATGAAGAAGGAGATGCTAGATGATAAAAAAAGAATAGAAATTCTGAGAACTACTAGACAAAGCAAATACAGAGAACTCAGGAGTTTAGCTACAAAATTAAGAGGAAATAGAGCAGTTGTTAGAAGAGGGGATGTTGTTGAGAGAACAGCATGATTATTGGTGGCGAAGATCCAGTAGAGAAGAGTTTCTGATATGTGGTGGGTGGGTGTGCTTTAGGATTTGAGAGGGGGTGGGACCGAGTGTGCGAGGAGAAAGCTGGCCTTCCCCAGGAGTGTGGACATGTGCACCGTGAGGAGACAAGGCCCCTCGTGTGACCCGGAGGTCTAGATGGTAGCAGTGGAGGAAGCTGCTCGTGGAAGCTCTTTTCTGATGCTGCTGTTTTCTGAGTACATTGGGGGCACAGGCCATCAGCTGAGAGAGAGTGGGGGGAGGTGTGGAGGCTCGAAGAGAGAAGCGGGTCACGCAGGAGGGTGAGTGCAGCAGGGAAACACAGTGTGAGTGCTGACCAGCTTGACACTGGCTGTGATGGGGGAAGGCCAGGCCAGGCCAGTCCACATGGAGGCTGTTTCTGCTGGGCCGAGTTGAGCCCAGGGTGCAGGCAGGACAGGGGAGTGCAGGCTGAGTCGTGTTCACAACTCAGGTTCCGCACCATCAACTTAGGTCTCCGGAGTCCTGGGCCAGTGTTGATTGTGTTTACGCTGTACCTTCAGTAACATGGTAATAGAATCTCACAGAGTCTAAAGAATTAAATTGATTTCCCCCCGCAGTATGAGGTTTTTAAAAAACATATGCTTTCTTTTTGCTGAAGTGGCTTGACATAAGTTCCTTCCAGTTCAGTTCTTTGGTTACTTACTGTCTTTCACTTTTCCAGACAGCGTCTGTCAGGTGTTTTAGAGCTTTCCATTGCTGTTTCTTTTATTTCAACATAATAGTATCATTAAGACTTGACTTTCCAGTTATTAAGCCTGAAGCTGCATTTTCTGCTTTAGAGATGCCAGAGGTAGAATTTACACGCCATTCAAGTAGAAGAATACACGCTGTTGGAAGGTGTGTAACTGAACACACATGAATTGCTGCGATCAGAATCCAGGCAGAGCCTTTGTCCTCACTGTCTAGTAATCTGTGATCTTTTAATCTAAGAACACTTCCTATTTGGGTCTGTTCTCACAGTATTTAATTACTGTAAATTATGTAAAGATTTGAATGTGTGTTTCAATCACTATGAACTTACTAATTTATATGAGGAATCAGTATCCTGCCTGCCTTACAGTGGTGCTTTCCAGCATGTCTGACGGTCTGGACACTAATTTGACAATAAGACATTAGTCAGCTAGAACTAAACTCTAACTTCTTGTCTCTCACGATCTTCCTCTGTCCTAGCCTCCCACATTCTTTCTCATGTTCTCACCCAGTCTTCCATTTCCTCCCCCACCCCTCCTCCCTCCTGCCCTCTCACACACTTCCCTTATGTACAGTGCCCAGGCCCAGGCTCTGTGCCTCCTCACCTTGGTGCCTTCTCAGGGTGGCAGCTTGTCCTGCAACAGCCCACTTGTATTCACACCAAGAGTTCAGAGAGATCTTGCTGGGCTAGCCAGGAGGAGCTGCTGGCTTCGAACTCGGGAGTCTGGTTCTGGAGTGACTGGACCCGGGGGGAAACTACCCGCCCCACACCATTCTGCACGCGGGAGAGGGCAGAGCCCTGCTAGCCCTGTGGACAGAAGAGTACTCACACCCAGACCATTCCTCTCTCTTCCGCAGGTTTAGACCAAGTTCCCGGCTGCCCGTTTATCCTGCCTGGGTCCGTTAGTCTAAACTCATTGCATCAGTTGGGGATCACTGTCAATTTCATTTCCCCGTGTAAAATTAAAGAGCAGTATATTGATTTTTAAAATAGGATATGACACATTAGCATGTTTACTGTAACTCCACTTTGTCAAACACACACATTAATATTGAGTCATTGGAAAATAAATATGGATAGTATTAAAGGAAAGGGAAGGAGTCTGCAGAGCAAATTCTTGGCTGTTGTATCACGTGTCCATTTTTACTGTATGGGAGCAAATAAAGTTTCATGCAAGAATCCCAGTAACTTAGGATTTTTGAAAATTAATTTATAGGGTATATTTGTACACCTATGATAAAGGGCTTTTTTTGTTTTCTTGGCCAGTTACTGAGAGACGGAATCACTTATTTTTTTTAATGTATTTTATTGATTATGCTATTACAGTTGTCCCATTTCCCCCCTTTTCTCCCCTCCACCCTGTACCCGCTCCCACCCACGTTCCCCCGCTTTAGTTCATGTCCATGTGTCATACTTATGAGTTCTTTAGCTTCTACCTTTCCCGTACTATGCTTGCCCTCCCCCCATCTATTTTCAACCTACATTCTATGCTACTTATTCTCTATACCTTTTACCCCTCTCTCCTCCTCCCACCCCCCTGCTGCTAGCCCTCCATGTGCCCTCCATTTCTGTGGTTCTGTTCCTGTTCTAGTTGTTTACTTAGTTTCTTTTGGTTTTGCTTTAGGTGTGGTTGTTAATAATTGTGAGTTTGCTGTCCTTTTACTATACATGTCTTTTCTTTATCTTCTTTTCTTAGATAAGTCCCTTTAGCATTTCATAAAATACGGGCTTGGTGATGATGAACTCCTTTAACTTGACCTTATCTGAAAAGCATTTTATCTTCCCTTCCATTCTAAATGAGAGCTGTGCTGGATAGAGCAATCTGGGATGTAGGTCCTTGTCTTTCATGACTTGGAATATTTCTTTCCAGCCCCTTCTTGCCTGTAAGGTCTCTTTGGAGAAATCAGCTGACAGTCTGATGGGAACTCCTTTGTAGGTTACTGTCCCCCTTATCTCTTGCTGCTTCTAGGATTCTCTCCTTCGTTTTTACCTTGGCTAATGTAATTATGATGTGCCTTGGTGTGTTTCTTCTTGGGTCCAACTTCTTTGGGGCTCTCTGAGCTTCTTGGATTTCTTGGAAGACTGTTCCCTTTGCCAGATTGGGGAAGTTTTCCTTTATTATTTGTTCAAATACGTGCTCAATTTGTTGCTTTTCCCCTTCCCATTCTGGTACCCCTATAATTCGGATGTTGGAACGTTTAAAGGTGTCCTGGATGCTCTTAAGCTTTTCCTCGATTTTTTGAATTCTTATTTCATCATGCTTGGTTGATTCTATCTTACTTCTGGTCCACTGTATTGTTTTGAGACTCAGATTCCTTCCTTTCACTATTGGCTTTCCTCCGCGTATCTTCCTGCATGTCTTTTATGGTAACCTGCATCTTTTCATCTAAATTGCACCCAAAATCAACCAATTCCATGAGCTTTCTGATCACCAGTGTTTTGAACTGTGCATCTGATAGATTGGCTATTTCTTGGTCGCTCAAAAGGATGAGTCCTGGGGAACTGATCTGTTCTATTGGAAACATGTCTTATGTCTTTCCCTGTCTCTCCTTTTTTTTTTTTTTTCGGTCTGGTCGCTCTTGTTACGGTGGGGGGGCGGAGCCTTAGGTGTTCACCGGGGCTGGGCACCCGGGTCGCTAGATTGTGACGTTACATGTGGAGGCAGGGGCGGGAGCAGGGACGGGAGGGAACAATGGCGGTAGTTCCGTTCTCCTGGGCTCAGACCCTTCTTTGGTATCCTGGGCCGCGAGCTCTGCCCTGGTCCAGAATCGCTGCCCCACTGGGTCCGCCAGCCGCTGCTTGCGTACTCAGGGAGCACCGCTGCGTTCTTGCGCCCCAGATGGCTGTTGTGCCGATTTTGCGCCAAATTTCCCCAACCTCCGTGCACCGCTGCAAACCCGCGCCAGCCCCGCGCCCGCCCGGCTCGTCGTCCCCTACCGGTCTGGATGTATGGGTCTACTTCAACTTCTTGGCTGTCTGACTTCCTTTCAGATAAATCCTCTGACAGTTCTGAGTGTTATTCTGTCTGTAAATTATTGTTGTTCTAATCTTGGTTGTGCGAGGAGGTACGGTGCGTCCACCTATTCCTCCATCTTGCCAGAAGTCCCGAAATCACTTATTTTTAACTAAATTTTGGCCTGCATAATCTTAGTTTTCAGCACATGTGAAGGTTTTAAGCCACACACAAAAAAAACGCAGCATAAAAGCCTCACTAACACACAATAACTTCACAAATCCCATGTGAAATGCACCTGAAAAATACTTAACGAAACATTCTGTGTTTTATCTAGAATTAGACATTAAAATAGCCCAGTTTACTTTGCTGTTTGATTTAAAACATAAGAAGTTCCCCACCAACCTGCTGTTTTGCAAGCTCAAACATTCAATAAAATAAAACATACTCCTCAGTCCAGAAATAAAGAAGACCAAAGAATTTTAAAGATAATTTCTAAATTGTTTAAAAACTCTGGACTTCATTTAACCCTTTAGATTCTCACCTTCCACCATCTCCTTACTCTCATTTGACATGTTTTTCTCAAATTTTATTTCTCGGTCAACAGAAGGTTAGAAGCAGTAAACTAAAAATAAACTAAAAAGCTGGAGAGGACGAGCGGAGACAGGTGCTCTGGGTGTTGTGGGCTCCCCCTGAGGCCAGAGGAGACAGGGAAGCTGAAGAGTAGGCGTAGCGTCTCCTCACGCCCCAGTAGCAGGTTCGGTCTGGGTGCAGACGGCCCGAGTGGTCGGCACGTCATTATGTGTGTCCAGTGCGTTCCCTGCGAGACGGCAGGAAGCGTGTCCTGCGGCTCCCAAATGCTGGCCCCGGACATCTGCCCCTCTGCGCTGCGTGTCTGCAAGTGTGTGCGTCTGCAGCACGGTACCTGCTCTCCTTCTGACAGAAGGCTCCAGATGAATACAGACATTAAAGACTTTAAACACTAAAAGGTTAACGTTTTTAGTGGTTTGTTAGACTGTTGTTATATAATCTATGTATTTACGTCTTAAAAGAATTTGTGTGTTAAAAAGAGGTAGACAAAATCTTCTAGTTTTTACATTGTTTGAGTCCATTAGAATAATATATGCAGTGTTACTTATTTCTAAAAGTCAGTGTTATCTTTTGGTTATTACCTTTTGATAGTCAATGATTTATTATAATCTTACTTTGCAAGTAAGTCACTGCAGAGTTATACAGACATTTGTAGGTCCTGGCTTGTTTTGTAGTTTTCATATTATGTTCCTGAATACTTTATCTTTCTTACACAGTCTGAACAATTTACCTTCTTATTTTTTAGACAACGAATGGCTCCTTCAAGGACAGGTGCCATCTGGAGAAATAGAGAGTGTCTCCAACCAACCAACCATCTCACTGCAGATTCCTGGGGACTGCTTGTCCCCCGAAGCCGTCGTGTCTGTCCGCGTGTTCCTCTACTACTGCAGCGCGGACAGCAGTGCCTGCATGATGAAGGGGCTTCTGTTTAGTCAGCCCTTACGGATAACCGGTGCGCAGCCAGGTGGCGTGGCTCCGGTGGAGCTCAAGTACGTGTTTTAGCACGCTAGCTAGCAGCCAGCCTCCACCGCCACCTGTGCTCCGCCCGCGCAGCACTGTAACTCACGACGAGGAACCTGATTTCTGCCTCCGAATACCGAGAAGCCCACTGCTCAGTTCAAGCACCTGACGTTCAAGTACAGCTATGCTCCTTATTTAATTATTTATTGTAAACAAATTCCTTCCTTCTGGCTGGGCACCAGCTAAGTCGCTGACCATCATCTGAACCTCGGACGCTGCAATCTATGCTGCTGTTGCCACATGACGTAGTCCACACTGACAGTAGGGAACATTATCCTGAGATAATTTGCAGTGATTACTGAGAACAACGACACCAAATATTTTAACTAACTTTTTCTACCTTGAACATTGAGCAGCGCATTTGAACGTGTAGATTTCACAATAACTTGAAAGGGAACCCAACATTCGGTTTTCACGTTGGTTATGAGGACACCTGACATTCCAGGCGGGAGGTCTTTTCTAAGCCCCCTCCCCCGAAAGTCTTTGTCACGGTAGCAGCTCTCGGAGTACCTGGGTGGTGAAGGTGTTCTGTGTGCTCTTCTGCAGCTTTCTCAGTTGACATACACTGAAAAGAGAATTTGTATCTATTTTCATCATGTTACTTGTTATTCTAAATGACCATCATTAATGCCTTATAACTCTATACAGAAAAGTGTCTAAGGACATACAGACTCGCTCCTTACCTGCTTTCGGAGCAAACAGCCTTACCAGGTAACAAAGGAAGTAGGGCTCCCGAGGACCGAGGGACTTGGGGACGCGGTACTGGGATAAACTGATGACAAAGAACCATGGCAGCTCAGTCTGGTGTCAGTGGGCATGTGTGTTTCAGAAATTTACATTTCACTCATAAGCATTAAATGCAGATTTGTTGGATTTTGGTATTTTTGATTCCCATAATCAGAATTTAAGTTACGACCATTTATTGTGATATGTTTTTTTTAAATCACTTTTAAACCTTTCAATTGAACATTTCATTGTGTTGCACTTTTATGCTATTGATACGTATAGAATACCCTAATGTGTTACTCTTTAAAATATTAAGGCTGAAATATACAGGGATTTGATAACATTGGGGTTTTTTTAGCCCCAGATATGTTGAAAGTTTTTATTATAATTTCCCTATATAACTATTTAAAAGCCGAGTCTTGTTTTTACTAAAACTGATTCAACATGTTTGTGATTTAATCGGCTTACAAGGTTTTTAAAAAAAAAATCAGGTGAACCATATTCAGTAAATATAGATAATGTGGCACATGCCTTCCCCCTTCCAAAGCAGTAAGTTGGGAGTATAATCTTTTAAGCACCATCACCTGCCTGTTTTCTTACATGTTCTGAAACACAGTTTTGTACGTACTCCCTCTTTCATTCAGGTCGCCTACATCTCTGAAGCCCAGAAATGCGCAGATCATGACTTTCGACTAAATTGTAACCTGCTCAAGCTATCGAAAGAGAGGTATAATGTAGAGAATTCTGTTTAAAATGATATGTAATTACCTCATAAGCCTTTTCTCTCCAAAAAAAAAGTTTTGTAATAAAATTACTTACAACATTAATATTCTCTTTTATGGCAAATAGGCCATAGTCATTTTTCTAATAACTTTCGATTATACTTCTCATTTCAAACTGGTCAGGATGAGAATATTTTGGCTTTATCTTTTCCTGTGTAAGGACATAAACAGTTTCCCTCTCTAAAGGAGTTTATAAAATTTTAACTTGCTAATTCAGATAATTCCGATAATTAATTTTTCAACATTGTCCACAAAGACACCGGTGGTGAGCATTTTTAAAAATCCGAAAATATTTCTTAGAATCTGTTAATGTTTCCTTTGTCTGGACCAGGGGTGTCAAACTCATTTCCACCCGGGGCCACCATCGGCCTCACGGTTGCCTTCAGAGGGCCGAATGTGACCTTAGGACTGTGTACATGTGACTGCTCCTTGCAGTGAAGCGAGAGCTCAGTGCCCCTCCAGGCAGAAACGAGGCGGAGGCCGCATTCGGCCCGCGGGCCTCGTGTTTGCCACCGAGGTCTGGGCGGCGTTTTATGTTCCTACTCTTACCCACCCGCCAGTCTGCATTGTTTTCTACAGTCGGAATATTATTTATGTAATTAGTGTAACTTTTTGTAAATTATACTAAAGCAATATAAATAGGTTCCTGGAATTTATGACTAACATATCTGTTACATAAGAGGAAGTACAAGAAAGATTACTTTTAAAAATTTCTTGATCCTGTCTGCCTTCTGTTTTCCATAGGAACGTCTGTATTTTTAACTTTCGCTATTTTCCGTGCATAAATTATGATACCCAATAATAGTAGAGTAAGTTGCCTAATCAAAGTGCCAGGAGTGTGGCATTACAGACGCTTGGATGTAATACCTACAATCCTTGCCCTAAATTATATGTTACTGCTTTGTCACTATTCTTTCTGCCACTCTCGGTGATACCATTCCACAATTTTTCTTTCTGCACTTATGCTCTGGATTGATATGATCCCTGAAAAGAATTTTACTTATCTTGAATATGCTGTCTCAAGCAAGTATTTAACAACTGTGCACAAGGGAATACTTTACAGTTTAATAACCCATAAGTGTAACTTTGGCAAAGTTCAGTGACTAAAAAAAAACAGTTTTCTCCTTAATGTTCTAATATATTTGTTATCAGGCCTGTAGAAAGCTATAAATCTTACAGCTAAAAAGGGGGATTTATTATGTGTGGGTGAGTGTGTGTGTGTACATACATAGATACAAAGATCAACTCAGGAATTTCTCACACAAGTTTCTCTTATGGCCAATAAGCTTTTTTGAGCTAACACCACTGAAATAAGTTACTCTCTGCTTGTTTCTCTATAGTTGAAAAATTTGGGAAGATGTTGATAATACTGTCTCTGTAATATTTTTCTGCTTGTACAGAATTTACTGTTGGTTTATATCTGCCATTTACAGCAAGTTTGGTCTGGCTGTTGTACCCGGCGTCGTTTTTAAGGGCAGTTATCAGGAACCAGCTAAGCTCCATCGTTCACAACTGCATCAAAGTACATGCAGAAGGGCTGCGTCAACGGTGCTTCTCCTGAACGGTGGAATTACGAATATTTTTATTTTAATTCTGCTTTATTCTTTTTTCAGTGAGTGATGTGTTATTTTTGAAAAACCAACAGGAAATTTTTTAACAAGTTTCAATGAACTGAATAGTAAGCACTTATTATATAATAACTTTTCTAAAGTCACTTTTACTACCAAAGATCAAAACATAGTTTAGAGCTCTTAGCTCTACCAGTTTTAAGTGTGTGCTTTGGTGAAGATAGAGATGTTTATGGCTGCTGCTGCTCCTGGGGTTTTTATTGTGTGATGGAATGTGGTGGCTGAGGGCGGACTGGGCCGTCCTGAGGGTTCTAACCGTGTAAAATGGGGCTGCTGTACGGATGCCATGAAATAGTGTTTGTGAAGCATTTAGTAATCAATGAAAATGCTAATCATTGGCTTAGTTGATGATAATTTATGACCATAACCACATGGCTTGACATCTCTGCAACCACAGTTTCTAAAGGAAGCTGTTTCTCTATCTGCTGTTTGATACGTTAATGTTCTCCACGGAGCTGGGATTCAATAGAAGAAATACGGTTTTATAAAGCATATAGTAAAGCATATTACTGTTTTATGAGTGATACATACTTACAAAAAAGTATACTTGCAGTTCTAGTTTTAAAATGTTTTGTAGACCTTCTACAACTACGAGCAATAAGCTTCCTTCGAGAGGGTCTAGACATCCTCACTCCAAACCACACTCTGATGGTGCTTTACAAAAGCTTCGGAGTACTTTTACGCATCTTGCCTCATTTGAGCTTCGGGATAACCCGATGAATTAGACAAGTAGCTGCTACATCCATTCTGCAGAGTAGGAAACGGCTTTGGAATGCCACCGCCCTGCCAGGATCAGAGCTCCCAGCATAAGCCCGCCTGCTGCTGGAGCGGCGTCCGGCGCGGGCAGTGGTTCGGCCAGTGCTGCTGAATGACTGGAGGGCAGCGAGTGATGGATGGATCGTGTCTTTGAGTCTTTGATCGTAGGTCTCCTCCCGCCTTGCGCTTCTCTTAGAACTAGAGTGAAAACAACCTGAGAAATTAAGAGGACTGACTTCCTTTTGTGAATGCTCTTTTAAGCCTTTGCAGTATTTCAATAAAAACGATAAGGATGATAGCTAAGTTCACTGGGTGCTTCCTACTTGCTGGCACTTTCCTACGTGCTTTACATGTATTAACTCCTTAATGAACTCTCACAGCCACCCTAGGAGGGAGGCACCATTTCTCCGCATTTCCCTGGTGAGGGAGCGGAGCAGTGAGTCGGAGGCAGTCGCAGAAGCGCACAGGTCCCACGTGCCCATCTGCCCTGCTGTCCGCCTCGCAGGGCAGTTTCCTCCAGACCCGCCCTCCGTGGTTACGTATAGTAACTGAACAGCCCCGGGGAACCCAGAAAGCCCTAGTGATAACTGGCTTTGAAATTTAAATCCGTTTAATTATATTAGCTTTTTGGATTTTTCATTCTACACTCTTATCTGTCAGGGTTTGAAACAGTCTGTGTAATTGTTGTTTCCCAAAAGATTTTCTGTACCATTCTTTCTTAAATTCAGATGTTATCCAGAGTTTTTCTTGGCAGATGGATGTATTAATGAATTAAATAGCTTTTTAGTATTGGTTCCAACAATGCTATTTTAATTGGTCTTCAACAGGCAGTCATAAATAGACCTTACCATAAAGTTTAACTGTGCTCTCAGCACTGAACTGACTCAAACGCCCCAAACTCCTCTATATGTAAGAAAACTTTGTTTTAATAGGGCAAGTGAGCTCTAGAAACATAGTATTTGGCCAGTCTGTTAACACACGTAAGACCCAGCGGTGACTCAAATGCAGGGTCCGGCAGAAGTCATGCCTGTGAGTGTGGTCGGTAGGGTAATGATATGGGTGTCATTATTCATAGTTTTAATTTGGACATTTCACCTAAAATGTCCTATGGTGTGCTTGAGTGTGATAATATGTTACAGAATTCCATGCTTAGGATTTTGTAATAAGAGATTCTGTAATAAAAAGGGGTGTTATTTGTGCGAGACCCTGTATATGCAATGCTATTATAGTAAAATGTTCCCCAGGTCAACCTGTTATTCCAGCTTTAGCTACTCTTAGAAGGAGTGAAACCAAATACTGTATACCACTGGACTGTGAACATCTTTTCATTGTTAGTTTTGTAATTTAAGTAATATTAAAATCCGTTAGTTTTGTTTTAAAATCTCATTTCTGAAATGCATACGGAATTGCACACCAACCTAAAGGGTAATGATAATGTACTTTAGAAGTAGCACTCACATAACATCATTTCAATAAAGAATTCACATTCACCATAAGTCACTCTTTTGGCCTGAATTAAAAGTTTGCATTTTCGGATTCCTTGCAATAGGGTAATATAAACAGTGGTGTTAAAAGTCAGAGAGTCTCGGCTCATCTGCTGGCATGTGCTCCCTGTCCGCCAGGCCTGGCCCTTCCACACACAGGACTGCCGGAGGGGCTGGCGCTGCGGGCTTTCTGCAGCTCTGGCTGCAGGGAGCCTGGGTGATGGGCTGGAGGTGGCGCTTGGCAGCCCCTCCGACTGCGCCCCTTCCACTGCTGATTTGCTTTGACTGCAAGCTTAGAGTTGGAAAGTCAAAACCCTAGACGCTTGTTGTGGAATGTTTGCTAGTTATTCATTGCTTGGTGTGTCTCTCTTTGCTGGCATGTCGTTCTCAAGTGTACGACCAAAGGATGTTTCATTCCATTGAAACCTCCACAACCAGAAAAAAAGAATGAAGTATTTCCAAATACGCTTCCCAGCCTTTGCCAGCAACCACACACTGCAAAGCCCGGCACAAGCACCCAGAGAGTTTTATAGCTGTCAGGGCGCGGCAGGAGTTCCTTCCTCTAAGCAGCGACTTACATCCTGGGCGTTCCTCAGTAATACACAGTTAAGCAAAATTGTCAGATTTTTTTAATGTGGAAAACTTGAAACTGGACAAATAGAAAATAAGACCTTTTGTTCTTAATACATTTCATTACATATATGTGAAATAAAGGAAGATGAGGCTTCGTAATACTGAGAAGTAGAGAAAAAAATTAGCTCTCCGATTTAATACACCCGGGTTAAACAGATTTACGATTCTTACTCTAATGTGGTGTGCTCGGGAGAATGTTAAGGTGCACAGGATAAAACATCAGTTGATAAGTTATGGTACTGGAGAGTGAAAATAGAATGTTCTTTCCTGAAAACGTAGGACTCTGCCACAGAACCATCTGCTGTTTTTAGAATTTGTAGTCATTATTTTTAGTCCCGCCAGAAACATGTTCGTTCTGTGAGTGTTGCACGCGGCATTCATTGTGTCCATTACCGTATCAGCACTGCTCACTGGTGTGGCCGAAATGTTTTGTTCCCGTGTGCCTCTGATGTTCATCATCCAAATGTATCTGTAAAAACCGTGTACCACCACTGCCTCTCGCGCCGCAGGCTCTCCCCAACAACAGTGGCGCCTGTGGCGGTTTGGCTCAGGAAGTCTGATTGCTCCCATGCCAGACACAGCACAATGATTTTGTTGGGGTACATTTTTTTTCTAAAATTCCTAGTACCAGACTGCAAGGGAAGAGAAAAATACCTTATGTGACTTTGAAATCAATTTCTCTCTGTTTGGAAGTATTCCTTCCTAATTTTATTTTAGGTAGGTTAATATAAAAAAATTTTTAATTCTCACTGTTAGGACCCATGCAGAGCTGGTTTCGAAATATTTTAGTTGTTTGTCATTACTTTACATGTGGGTTATGGACAAAGTTTTGTGTGTGACGTGCATTTATATGATTTCAAATTGTTAACAGTTCATAAATTTGTCAAATGTTAAAGACAAATTCTTTTGTGTTGATAAGGTTGTGGTTTTACTTCTGAGACTAGAGTTGGTCTGCTGTGCTGACTTCATGCCTGTCCTTCCAAAGGTTTGGTTGTGTTTTTCTCCAAATATGAAAAAGATGCAATGAAAATCCAATTTACAAGGATATATATTGATATTTCTAGACATGGTCTAGCTCTAAAAACAATTTATTTGATTTGTATTTTTAAGCGTTTCCTGTAGACAGATTAATATATTTTTATACAATGCTGTATTTCTACATTTATTTCTGGACTATTTTCTGTGACTTTCTCAATGGTGCGTTAACAGAAGACTGTTTGGGATTAGTGCGCGGTGGCTTTCCTGCCGAATCTAAGGAAGTCAGGACGTGGGGCGCCGGGAAGCAAGAGTGTGCTCATACTGTACGCTGAAACCTACTCACTCTTTTCTAAGGCTTTGTACACTTTTTCGTGGAACATTAAATATTTTCTCTCTAAAGCCATGTTTCTGGAGATGATTTTACTGCTTACGAACCTGAAAGCCATGATTTCTCGTTGGAACTTCTGGAGCAGTGAGCATCATACTTGGTTTAAAAAAACAAAACAAAACAAAACAGCTCCCAAGCAAATAATTCCAAATGAAATGCCATCATAATTACAATAGATTTTTCTAAATACATTTGGAAAGGTACTCTATTCAGTAAACAAGAATATTTGAAAAGAAAAAAGGAGGCCTCTACTCAACACTGTGCACAGCCTTGCAGAGGAATTCATGACAATGTGATAAATACACTAAAATGCTGGAAGAAATGAAGGAGCCTGTAGGGTTGGGGGTGGGGGTCTAAAAAAACTAGGAGCTCATAGACACAGAGAACAGACTGGTGGTTGCCAGAGGTCAGGGAGACGCCCAAAATGGGTGAAGAGGGTCAAAAGATACAAACTTCCAGTTTAAAAATAAAACACCTCTAACCTGTGCATATTTGTTTACACACACACACACACACACACACACACACACACACACACACACACAGATGGTCCCCGCTTCCCACAGTAAAAGACCATAAAAATGACTGTGCGAGGGGAATCGCTGGAGAAGCAATCTTAGTCAGTGGGGATGATGGGATTATTCCATGGCCTTTAAAGATGTTTTGTTAAAGTATTAAAAATTCGGTGTCAATTGTAAATGTATGGAAAGTGAGAAAGTAAAGCTAATATATAGTACACTGTAATTTAAAACATTACAGATACTGAGAATTAAAATTTTCACATCATTGTGAGAAAACTCACCAAGAGTGTTTGAACAAAGCTTGCTTGTCTCATACAATTCATGACACAGAGCAAGCATCTTTTCTCTGCCCTGGCACACTGTCATGCTTCTGAGTTTGGATCCACCAACCTTTTCATCCTTGTGCTTTCAGTGTCATGCTGTATTTCCGAGAGCTCCTTTAGGGTGACATTTTTTTTGCCAGAGTCACTTCCTCTAGGATAGCATCGTCATTTTTATCACAGCCACTTTGCTGATGTGCGTGAGTGAGATCACCTTCACTAAGTTACTCTGCTCGCGTACCTGGAGTCCACCAGACACTCATGGTCGGCTGTTTTCTCTGCAACTCTGTTTGCATCCCATGCAAATTTCCCTTCCAGTGTTTTCACTTTCCATTTCTTTGCTGTACTTTTTGTCTTGTAGGCCAATTTCCTCTTTTGATGATCAGTTTTTGTAAAATTGTCACAGCTCTATCACTAAGTGGGACACAAGAAGGCAGCACAGCTACACAATTTGCACTGAGTAACCTGCAGTAACCTGTCACCAACAGACTTTGAGAGGGGTGACATTACTTGTTGGCTGATCGTGGGTCACACGACCTGTTACCACATAGTGATTGTGGGCTGAAGAGCTAACAGTGAAATCGTACTTAGGTAATTGCTTCTAAGTTAATATCCTGTGGCTGCTGAACTTGGAGTTGTGTTGATTTAAACTGTAGTAACTGAAATTGTGCACAAAATCAATCTGTGGAAATATACAACAAATACCTAATAACTGCAGATGTGAAAATGGGGGGTAGGGAGGGACTGGCCTTTACTCACTATATATACTTGTTTGATTTTTTACCAATGCATACTGTGACTTTTTTTTTTTAGAGCATACGAAAGCAAAAGAGATTATTTATTTCCCACAATGGCATTGCATGCTGTGTGCTGGGAACAGGGAACCAGAAGAGTAAAGAGGAACAGACTGTGTTGAATAAGTGAATGTTTGTTGTGGGAGCCTATGCTGGTTGTCTTAGAATATATAAAATCATGTCAAATGATAGTAAATTTGTCACCCAGCAAAATAGCATATCCCAAACCCCAATTCCGTGCCAGCTGAGCTGACGCCACCACTTGAGGACAGAAGGCCCTCGAGAGAGCGAGTTACTCCACCCCCTTGAGTTTCTCACCTCTGAACACTGAGTATTAACACCTCCTGGGTCGTTTCATGAGAATGTGAGAAAAGCACATGGCGCTGCGACTAGCAACTAGTAAGCGCTCCACACACTAAGCCCTGAGTTCTCTGCCCGCGGGTGTCTCCGAAGAGAGGTGGTGACGTGATTGATCCGCGTGTGTATCACAGTGAGTGGGAGCCGGAACCAGACGACCTCAGGTTCTGCACCATTCTGAGATTCTGAGGTCTGGGATATATATGGAAAAACCATTGTTCAGTTTCACTTCAAAATAATAATTTGTCATTTACTCCTTCGGACTTTGTAACATTTTTTAGAATGAAACACATTAGAAACCAACAGAAATATTGGTTAAGTTCACAGATTTTTAATAAGACTCAGAAAAGTATTTAAAACACTTAGCTAATCGAGTCCAACCTTGTTAGGGTAAATAATTTTGTGTAAAGAAAAAAATCCCATTTGGAATAGCAAAAAGAAAAATAAAATACCTAGAAATAAACTTAACCAAAGAGGTAAAAGACCTGTATTCAGAAAACTACATAACACTGAGGAAAGAAATCAAGGAAGACACAAACAAATGGAAACACATACTGTGTTCATGGATTGGAAGAATTAATATCATCAAAATGTCCATACTACCCAAAGCAATTTACACATTCAATGCAATACCTATTAAAGTACCAATGGCTTATTTCACAGACATAGAACAAACACTTCAAAAATTTATATGGAACCATAAACGACCCCGAATAGCTGCTGCAATTTTGAGAAAGAAGAGTAAAAGTAGGAGGGATCACAATACCTGACACTAAACTATACTACAAGGCCACTGTAATCAAAACAGCCTGGTACTGGCATAAAAACAGGCACATGGACCAATGGAACAGAACAGAGAGCCCAGAAATAAACCCAAGTCTCTATGGTCAATTAATATTTGACAAAGGAGGCAGCAACATAAAATGGAGTAAAAATACCCTCTTCAACAAATGGTGTTGAGAGAACTGGACAGCTATGTGCAGAAAAAAATGAAATTAGAGCACCAACTTACACCTTATATAAAAATAAATTCAGGGTGGACAAAAGACATAATATAAACTGTGACACCATTAAAGCCCTAGAGAATGTAGGTAGGAAAACCTCAGATATTTCATGCAGAAACTTCTTCACTGACATGTCCCCTAGAGCAAGGGACATAAAGGAAAGAATAAACAAATGGGACCTCATCAAAATAAAAAGCTTCTGCACAGTTAAAGAAAATAGTATCAAAACAAAAAGAGAATCAACTGTATGGGAAAGCATATTTGCCAATGATACCTCAGACAAGGGTTTAATCTCCAAAATATATAAAGAACATACACGACTCCACTCTAAGAAGACAAGGAATCCAATTAAAAAATGGACAAAGGACTTGAATAGACACTTCTCCAAGGAGGACATACAGAGGATCCAAAGACACATGAAACAATGTTCAATATCGCTAGCTATTAGAGAGATGCAAATTAAAACCACAATGAGATACCACTTCACACCGGTCAGAATGGCCATCATAAACAAAGCAACAAACAACAAGTGTTGGAGAGGTTGTGGAGAAAAGGGGTCCCTAGTGCACTGTTGGTGGGACTGCAGACTGGTACAACCACTATGGAAAACAATATGGAACTTCCTCAGAAAACTAAAAATGGATCTGCCTTTTGACTCAGCAATTCCACTACTGGGACTATATCCTAAGAACACTAAAACACCAATCCAAAAGAACCTTTGCACCTCGATGTTCATAGCAGCACAATTTACAGTAGCTAAGTGCTGGAAGCAACTTAGGTGCCCATCAGTAAATGAATGGATCAAAAAGACATGGTACATCAACACAATGGAATTCTATGCAGCAGAAAGAAAGAAGGAGCTCCTACCCTTTGCAACAGGATGGATGGAGCTGGAAAGCATTATGCTAAGCGAAATAAGCCAGGCAGTGAAAGACAAATACCATATGATCTCACCTTTAACAGGAACCTAAACAACAAAACAAAGAAACAAGCAAAATATAGTCAAAGACACTGAAATAGAGGACAGGCTGACAGGGACCACAGGGGAGAGAAGAGGGAATTTCAGGGGAGAATGGGAAGGGTTTACAGGAACAAATTTAAAGGACACATGGACAAAAACTAGGGGGAGGGTGGTAATGGGAGGGAAGTGGGGAGGGATGGGTGGGTGGGCTGGAATGGGAGTAAAAGGGAGAAAACTGTACTTGAACAATGATTAAAATAATAAAAAAATAATAATTTTGTATAACTCCAATCTTCAATTCGATTACATCTTTTAATTCCTAACTAGGAAAGACACTTCTAAGAAAAGGATCTTGAGAAGGAAAAAATGGAATATTTATCCCCCATGCCTTTTTTTCTTTATGAATATACCACAAAAAAAAAAAAGATTTCAGATATCCTTTATGTATATAAAACCTTACCGAGAATATTTTTGAACTCTATTAAAGTGTTTATAAAAAACCATGGGCTCTCCCACTCATCACTGTGCTAGTTTACAGATGCGTGGCCTTGATCTTAAAGCTTTCTAAAGAGTATATTGTTCTTTATTATGTAATTTGACTCATCACACATGGAATACATCTAGATATTGGTGATATCTGTGCTCAATTCTTATCTTGTCAGCTGTTAAGGAGCAGATAAAATCAAGGAACTTGGAAAACTGAAATGACAGGCAGATGAATTTCCAAACTCCGGCAAATCTGAAATTCACCCTTCAGTCTGTGGAGCAACCCCTCACCAGTGGTCAATGCTGGCTCATTATCTTCCCAGGGGTAGAAATCCCCCAAATGAACAGGACTGCTTCAACTCAGTTACTATAGGCATCAACCCATCAGTCTATATACAACATAAATAGATATTGGCATACAGACATAATTTAGCGTGCACAATTTGTACATTTGACCAGCTGTAGCTTCTAATGTCCCCTTTTGTCCCAAAATTCAAATTCTAGTCCATCTTAGATCACAATTTTCATGAGTAGCAACTTCGATCATACTTTGCAAATCACAATTTAA